CTCCCCCCTTGTTTTTTTTTTTTTTTTTTTTTTTTTTTTTTTAATAGTCACGGAAACAAAGAGGTATTCTCCTGCTGGGGAATCCAGCTGGCAGTGGACTGGTTTCGAGAAAGGGGGCACACGTACATCAAAGTTTTTGTCCCACTCTGGAGAAAGGAGCCCCCTCGACAGGACAGTCCAATTGCAGGTAGGTCACCACCCTGGGCATAATTTGACAACCATTTGGTGCAGTTTGGAGGCAGGGGGTGTGAAGACTCCAGTACGGTTTTGCTCTGTAAAGACAATCACAGTGCAAGTTGTGTATCAGGTTTTCATCACTTAAACTAGTCATTAATTTAATGCCGCATGCTCCTGGCTAGCAGCTAAAACTGCATACAAGTCTTTGTTACACTACTTCGAGCCTTCTGCTTCAGAAGCACAAGTTGCTGCCAGCTGAGTTAAAGAGTGACTGGGTTTGTCAGCTCGCAACGAGTCTGCAGAGCTTTTAAGGCCAGCCAGGAGGCAACAACATCGTTTCACGCATTATCCAAAGGCGGCAGTATCCGAAGCGTTCACTACTGTATGACTATTACCTGTTAGCCTATTGCCCTGATACAGGAGCTACATGGCTTCCTCTTCCCAGAGAAGGAAACGCACCAGCTGAAGTCTCTGGAGGGTGGCGAGATTTAGTTTGTATGGAAATAGATCTGCCAGATTTATGCCAGCAGCTTGGCATCTGCAGCTGCAGATGAGGCGGCTGGGGGTCTGCTTTTCTGTGTAGCAGTAATGACAAGAAGCCAGAGTGTCCTCAATGGCAGCAAAAGAAGTTTCTTTGTTCATTTATTTATTTTATCCCCCAGTAACGCTCCTATCAGGGCTGGTTATGAGCCTTCTAGCATCTAGTGTGGTAAAAAGGGAACTACAGGGGTTCAGCATATCTCTGGTGTAGAATTCAAGCCATCCTTCCATGGATAAGAATTAAAAATTAAAAAAGATGTCTCAAATTTTAAGATTAGGTGCTTTCATAAAAGACCTAATTTTCAAGTTGTCAAATAGCCACCAGGTATGAGTGCATCTGAAAATCACACCGCTTTAAGTTGCCTAAAGTGCTGGAACATCTTTAGATTCCTGTAGGTTTCTAGCACATGATTGAGACCTGGTCATTCTTAATTGATATTTTTTTTCCCCTTCTATTTCTGCCAACCACCCCACCAGACCAGCACATTCTTGAAGAGCTTGAAAAGCAATCAATTCTTGTGTACACCCCATCCCGAAAGGTGAAAGGCAAGAGGGTAGTTTGCTACGACGATCGCTATATAGTGAAAGTTGCTTATGAGAAAGACGGAGTCATTGTTTCCAATGACCATTACCGGGACCTCCAGAATGAAAACCCCGAGTGGAAATGGTTTATTGAGCAACGACTACTCATGTATTCTTTTGTCAGTAACAGGTAAGAGACAGTTGTTGTTTAACAATCTTGAATTTAAACGTTATGGGACAAATCAGCTCCAACATCAATGCACCTCCCATTGGTAGCAGCATACATGAGCTTTTCTCTGAAAGGAATTTACTGCAACTTTTCTTATCTCATTTCTTTAGTTGCTGTCCCTCAGCTTTGGTCTTCAACCCTCATGTCACTCTTCAGTGAACTTCTCTATTTCAACAGCAGCATTCGTAATCAGCTCTGCTTCTTGCCAAACCAAATTGGGATGTTAACCCAAGGCTTGGTATCTTTTAATTTATATTTCCTATAGGAAACAGAATTAAATCCATGAGAGGATGCTGGCTATCTGGCTGTATTTTTAATTCCCCTACAAGGCAGAACAAGCACTTTTCCCTAAGCTTTTGTAATCGTAACTTTCTAGAAGAAGCGAGATGAGAAGCGGCCTCTCTGGCCCTTAACCATCCCCATTGGGAAAGGTTTTGATTAAGGCACTTGCGCTGTGCCTGCGAGGCCGAGCTGTGTGCTCCTCCGTCTGTATGGACTAACCTTGTCTGAGTCTCCTGGTAGCAGAGGCATTCGTTAGCCATCAGTTTGGCTGGGGAAATGCACTCGGAGAGATCCAGTGTGCACGGGCGAGTGCAAGTGGAGAAGCTGCCTCACATAGCGGCACTCTCCGTGGGTCAGGATGGAGACTGGGCTCTGCCGCCACTGAAATTGGATGTGAGTACTTGGCAATGGGTTTCAGTTTCCCTGCAACGTTGTTCACAGAAATGCAGTCGCTGAACATCAACATACTGTATTTCTTGAGACTCCAGCCCATTATCTCCAATACCACTAGGCTTCTTGCCTAGTTACTAATGGGTTACAAATACTTGTATGATATTTTCCTTCCTATTTCATAGGGATTTGCCAGACCTTTTCAGAACCCTTCCCTCAGAATGTCTAGCTGTTACTGCGAAGCCTGCAGGACCTTCTTGCACAGCTTTGGGAACCTCTCTAAAACCACAGCTGGAGGTCTTAGTCCCGTTACGTGGATAACCAAACTCCCCGTGTGCCTCGTTTCCCCTCCTGCCCACGACTCCATCCAACAAAGAGTTGTTCCATGAGTGGGTGCAGTGCAGACTCATTTGCAACAAGTCCAGAGATGATAATTAGTTTTCTTCCTGAAGTATCACATTCGGGTATAGAAGAATAAACAGTTTTATCTGAGCATTTTGCAGGCCTTGTAGCTAGAAGCCTTTACTGAAAAAAAAAAAAAAAAGGCTGGGCTTGTTTATCACACCACATGCATGATCAGCTATAGCTCTGAATTAACTGCTGGCTTGTTAATCCTCATTCTCCTACAAGTATTTAGTAAGAGAAAAGTGAGTTTGCTGTGGAAAGGACTGATGATGAGGATCGCGGTGCTGGGAACATATGAGAGTTTGCAGCTGCTTCAGAGAAAAAAATGCTGCAACGGCTGGGACTGCTGGCAGCCGGAGCTACACCAAGCTGCCATGCCTCTCCAGTTGTTTTAAGTTATTAGGAAAAACCAACAACTACTGAAGCTGAAGCATTGTTGCCTTCACAGGCAGCAGGGCACTGCGTCTAGTAACGCAGCCTGACTCCTGAAGGTCAGGCCACAAAAGGATCACAAGGACTCTTTGCCCTAAGCTTGTGCCACAAGCTGTGATGCCACTTCAGCTCCAAAAGCTCGAGGTATTTTTGTTACCCCTGTGACTTTTTCCTTTTTCAGGTTTATGCCTCCTGATGATCCATTAGGCCGGCATGGACCCACTCTTAATAACTTCCTCAGCAAAAAGCCAGTGCTTCCTGAACCAAAATGGCAGCCGTGTCCCTATGGTGGGTTTCTCTCCATGCTGTGAACTGCCACCCCTCTTCCTCCTGCCCCTTGCTTCCCAGCGACGCTTTCCTTTGGCTGAGGGCGAGCGCCGTTGCCGTGCGCTGTCCTGCTTCGTGTGGTAGGGACTTGGGTCTGGGCTGCTCAAACATGTGCTGCTTTGTTCCTGTCCTGCTTAAGTAGTTTCAGCCTCAGCGGAGGCAGCAGCTGTTTCTGGCTCCTCCATCCTCCCCTGCATGCAGCACCCAAAGCAGGCACCGTGGCTGAGCTGACCCCCTCTCAGCCTGCACACACTTTTTATTTGGCAGAGCGGACTTGCATTGCAGCGCTTGGGCAAGGCCATCCACACACTTCCCCGGTCTCCCCTCCCAGCAGCTTTCCAGTAATATGGAGGTTTCTCACATGTAAATCCCTATACCATTTCTTAAAGCAGCCCTTTGTAGCAGCAGTTCTCCCAGCTCACTGAGAGCAGCAAATGGACCATAAATTAGTTTCAGACACTTCCAAAATAGCAGAAACTTCCTTTCACTGCTGTTTCACCCTGCTATTTAGGTCAGCAATATTTAAATCTGGGGTCAAAAGTACTGAATTGGAAAATGGCACTTCCTCTCTTTGCTGTTTTTGCTCATCACGCCACTGCAACTGCAGAGTGCTGGGGAGAAGCGATGAGTACGTTAATCGACGTGGGTGCTAGTGACAACTTTCTGTTGTTTTTTTTTTTATTTTATTCTTTCAGGTAAAAAATGCACCTACGGCAATAAATGCAAATTTTACCACCCGGAGAGACCACATCAAGCTCAGCTCTCAGTTGCTGATGAGCTCAGGGCCAAAATAAAGGTTCCATTAAGCCTGGGGAAAGAGAAGAAGTGCAACCGCTCGCCGTACAGGACCGGAGGAGAGCCTGCACTGCCTGACGCGGGCACAGAAACGCTGCGAGAAGCCAGCGGCTGGGCAGGAGCTCTCTGCTTCCCAAGGGGGGCC